ACAGATGGTAAACTCACTGATCCTGCACAATGCATGAATGTCATGCAGAACAATTGCATTGAAAGCCAACCGGTTCCCATACTGGAATGATCTGGTTTTTTTATACTTACCTCTCATTATGGTTGTTAAACTAATAAGTTGGAATGTTCAGGGGTGTGGCCATCCTCGTTTTCTCACAGTCTTTCAGCAATATTTGCGTGACTTTAAACCATATTTAGTAGCTATTTTAGAACCTCGAATAAGTGGTGGCAGAGCGGAGGTTTTTATCGCTGCCACCGGGTTCCCTCGCTCTCATCGTATTGAAGCAATAGGTTTTTGAGGTGGCATATGGTTATTGGCATGATAAATTCAAGTGGATATACTTCTCAACCATATCCAATTCATCCACTGCCGTATCTCTACCACCCAGGAGATTTATCGACTTTAGCGTCATTTATATATACTAATCCAAACTCAACAAAGAGAAAGTTTCTATGGCCTCATCTTCGGTCCCTAGCTGATATTACCACCCCTTGGGTCATTTTGGCAGATTTTAATGCCACACTTACTACTTCCGACAGGAAGAATTTGACGACTACTACTCAACCTTGTAGATATTTTCAGGATTTTGTTTATGATTTTGGTAGCCGTGACATGGGATTCCAAGGTCCTGAATTTACATGGAACAGGGGATTATCTTATGCTCGTCTTGATAGAGCTTTATGTAATAGAAAATGGGATGAATCTTATCCCGAAACAGCCGTACACCACCTACACCGAATGCGGTCTGATCATAGACCACTTCTCCTTTGTGTCGACAGCCCTATGGCCAATATTCACCCATCTCAATTCAGGTGCTTCTCTGGCTGGTTACAACACGATGACTTTAGTCGAATGGTGGAGGATAATTGGGTAAACTCTGAGACTCTTTCAGGCACTATTTCCCATTTAACTGAAGCAGCAGATACATGGAACAAAACAGTGTTTGGTTATATCGGCACAAAAAAGAAGATTATTATGGTGAGACTTCGAGGAGTGCACATAAGCCTTAATAGATTCCACTCGAATTTCCTTATCAATCTTGAAGTTGAGCTCCTCATCGAGTTAGAAAAACTCTTAGATCAAGAGGAAACACTTTGGAAACAACGATCGAGAGTCAATTGGACTGTATAAGGTGACCGCAATATAAAATACTTTCATAGACGTGCCGTACATTGAAAGCAGAATAATCGAATCATGTCACTAAAACTCCCTTCAAATGACTGGTGTTATGACACACATATACTCAAGGAAGAAGTAGTTAATTATTTCATGAATATTTATGCTTCTGATGAGGAATTGGTAGGAAAATTCCCTATTTCAGGATGCTTTTCGGTAATTCCAGCATATCTGCAAGGCTCCATGGTTATCACTCCAAATGATACAAAACTTTTTGAAGCTCTGAAAGATATGGCCCCTCTAAAAGCTCCTGGCCATGATGACCTACATGCAGAATTTTTCCAAAAGTAGTGGCACGTGGTGTCTCATTCTGTTTGCAGCATGGTTAAAAAGGTCTTTGCAGGAGGTGATATTGAAGCCGATATAAATAAAATCATGATGTTTTTAATCCCAAAAATAGAAGCTCCAGTAACTTTTGTTGATTTCTGCCCTATCAGCCTATGCACTATCATGTATAAGCTCATCACCAAAATCATTGTTCACCTCATTAAACACTTGATGCCTATCTTAATCATGCTGAATCAAACGAGTTTTGTCGCTGGGCGCTCTATTACAGAAAATATTATTATAAATCAGGAGGTAATCCACTCTATGCGGCAACTCAAGACAAAACAAGGTTGGATGGCAATTAAAGTGGATCTCGAAAAAGCTTTCGACCGTCTCCGATGGGATTTCATCCAAGATTCGCTCACTGACGCTGGCTTCCCAGTCAGCACCATCCGAGTCATAATGCATTGTATCTCTTTGGCCTCTATGCAAATCCAATGGAATGGTGAATACACTCCAGATTTCAAACCACAATGGGGTATCCGACAAGGTGACCCTCTTTCTCCATATCTATTTGTTTTAGCAATGGAAAGACTCGGTCATAGCATTCGTAAATGCGTCGAAGAAGGAGATTGGAAGGGATTCTCTTTTGCCCAATAAGGACTTCCCATTAGCCATTTATTTTTTGTTGATGACCTTATGTTATACGCAAAAGTTGATATTCCTCATGCTAGGCAAATTGAGAAAATCCTCAACCAATTTGGGCACTTTTCAGGACACAAAGTCAGTAAACGAAAGACTCATATATACTTCTCACCTAACACTGTCACGGAAATGAAAACTGTCATCCTTTCATGTCTTGGGTTCCAAGAAGTTGACCATATGGGCAAATATCTTGGCGTGTCGGTCCTTCATAGTCGTATGAATGCTACGGATTTTGACTTCATCTTCGATAAATTCAGGGGTAAATTAAAAGGTTGGGCAACTTGAACTCTTTCATTGGCAGGGCGTGTTACTCTGGCTAAATCGATCCTTTCAGCCATACCGACTTATTTTATGCAAGTCATGTCTTTCCCAAAAAGGGTCTGTGATGAGATAGAATCTGTGAATAGGCTCTTTATTTGGGGCTCTGAACCCTCTGAAAGGAAAATATCCTTAGTTAATTGGTCTACGGTCTGTACTCCTATTGATAGAGGAGGGTTGGGTTTAATATGTCCTCTTGAGCAGAACAAAGCTTTCCTGATAAAGCTTGGTTATTTTATTATGGTAAAGAGAACTTCTTACTGGGTCCAATTACTCAGACAAAAATATAAAATCCAGGATGCTTATCCTTTATCCATTGAAAGACACATATACACCCCATTATGGCGAGGGATAGCGAAAACATGGAGCCAATTATCCTTATGCTTGGTCTGGTCGATGAGAAATGGAGACACCATAAACTTTTGGAATAATGCGTGGTTGCCACATTTGGGACCATTATAAAGTTATGCACGAGCTAACGCATATGTGCACCCAACTCAGAAGCTACACAATTTCATTGATGAATAAAATCATTGGGACGTGGAGGCGTTATCCCAAGTTCTTGTTCCAGTTGCCATCCCTCACGTGCTTAATGCTCAGCCTCCTGAGGCTACCGATATATCCGATGCCCTGGTCTGGAAATGGGATCCTAAACATCAATTTACGATCAAATCGGCTTACACCTTTCTCATAGAGGATAGTTGGTCCGGGAAGAATAATGTTTGAAAAAACATTTGGTCGATCACCGCTCCTCAACGAGTCTGCATGTTCATATGGCTTGCTTATAAAGAAAAGATCATGACAAACTATGAACGCAGAAGACGAATGCTGACAAATGACTGCTCATGTGCGACTTGTGGCGCAGCCATGGAATCAGTAATTCATGTATTGTGTGATTGCCCACCCAGGCGAAACCTCTGGTCGCGTGTTGTTCCACATTCCACATTTGCTAGTTTCTTCGGTACTGATCTTCAATCATGGATCACACAAAATATTCATAAGCAACAACCCGTAAGTGATAGCGATCCTCCTTGGTCTTCCTTTTTTACTGCTCTTATTTGGCACATCTGGAAGCAAAGGAATGACTATATTTTTAAGGGTGCCACTTACAAAACAAATTCTACAATTCACAGTAGTTATAACTGGGCAAAATGCTATGCAAATAGCTCCAAAGTCTCTGTTATATATTCGGTACAGCATGTGACAAATCCGACGTGGTCTCCACCACCCCGAGGATGGATGTGCTTGAACACGGATGGTGCAGTGGTGACACTTGATGGGCGAGGCTCAATTGGTGGTGTTATTCATAACTCTAACGGAGAATGGATTACATGTTTCACAAAGAATATATGCACAACATCGATACTTCACGCCTAACTTTGGAGCATTTATGAAGGTCTTCTCATTGCAAGAAACTTGGGCATTCATATGCTTTGGATCCAATCTGACTGCAGTAGAGCAGTTAAATTGGTAGGAGAAAGTGGTTCAATCGACATCCATATTCCGTTGCTTCGCGTAATTCTGAAACTTCGACAGTCAGGATGCTGGGTGACAAAAATCCAATGGATTAGCATGAATGGAAACAAGATTGCCGATAGGATGGAAAAGCTAGCTTCGCGGCAACATTACAACTTGGTTCACTTTGACTCCCCCCCCCCGGATGAGCTAGCAGACCTCCTAGCTTTAGACGATGTTGTTGCGCAACAAACTGATGAGAGTATACGCGCATAGCCTACTGTTTTAGGCTTCTTTCAATTAAAAAAAGACCTTTTTGTCTACGGAATATCAATCAAGTTCTCATTGTATCTCAAAATCTATTCATCGCAATCATGACGTAAAAGGATAAATAATATACTAATAATTAAAATTTCGATTGAATTCTATTTCATGAGTTAATTGTTCATTAATTTAATTATAGATGATTAAATTATTTCATTTTAAATCCTAATTAATATTGTTACAGTAATATTTTCAATTTTTTACTTGTATATAATTTTAAAATAAATAATTAAAAATTATGTTTTTCAAAGGTCAAATTCGAGTTTAATATAATTTATATATAAGTTTTCTGTCACAACATTTATAATCATTAGGCAAAATTGATCGGACGTTACTTTGGAAAAAAACTTTTTCTTATATAAGGTGAAATGAATGCTACACTACTCCATGGAAGACACCCAGAAGACACGAGTACTTTCGGAAGACGTCAAGAAGACACAACGTCTTTTCTAAATTCATTGCATACTAATCGCGTCTTTCTAGAATGACATTGAAGATATCGTGTCATCTGAGCGTTTTCTAAAAGTCGTCGTATCTTCTGGATATCTTTCATAGAGCACTATAATATTTTTTATAGATGAAAAATAATTACCCTAACATGTTATATGAGAAAATCATTTTTCCTAAAGTATTATATGATCAAATTTATTATAATAGTTGTTAATTAAATTTTATAAAATATAATTTTCTTTTTTAAAATTTGTATTATGAATGTGACAATATAAAGATGGAAATGAAAAAGGAAAGTAAATTCTTATAGTGCTGATAGCTGATTTTTATTACAAGTAATTTATAAAAGGAGTAAAAGCCAAATCTGCAGCCAGCAATGGTAGAGGAAGGTATACAAAGACTCCACCTACACTTTTTATTTTACATGTGTCCTATTCTCCCTAGATTCCCTATATCCATTTTACCACCATCTTATCTGTCCTTTTGTTTCCTTCCTCTTTATTCTTCTTTGTTCCCTTCCATTCAACAATTACAAATCAAATACAATCCACACAACAAGGCTTTCTTAATAAGTCCATTCTTGAGGTAGACTCACTTCTTCATGGTGGCTCGTACCCGGCACCGCCCCAGACTGACCCTCTTGCGACGAATTCATGCTGTCGGAACCTTCTGCATGGGATTATGAACAAGTTTTTTAACTAACATACCAAAGAGTAAATACAAAAAAAAAATAAAGAAGTAAAATTCTTATTTCTTACTGTTAAAATCTACAGTATTAAATCTTGATGGAACCCCTGTTTTCTCGAAGTGGAGCTTTAGGGCCTGAACAACTCTCGCGGGAATCAGCACAGTAGCACACCCTAATCGAAACAAAATCCCAAGTAAATATATAGGACGAAATACGAAATAAAGTGAAGAATTTTGAATCAATTGAGTCGAGGAAAAAGTATCTGGGAGATTCTTCAAATCTTGGAGATCTAAAAATGAAAAAAAAAGGTCTATTTGGTACTCTAGTCCCAAAGTATTTATATTTTATAAGTAAAATTATATTAGGTGACATATAATAGAAAATACCATGTGACAGTTTGGCATAATTAACAGTCTACTGAACCCTTAACTATCCCCCAACTAATCCGACCAAACTCTGTCTAAATCCTAAAGCGACCCAATAATTAACATAAAAGTAACATTTCAATTACTCTTTCAGATATTTTTTTTTTGAAAGAAAGGTACTTGTTTCTAACCTTGTTTCGTGCGTGAGTTGCAAGGAGTGCCTCCAGTTCCACGAGGCAAGAACACACCGGTTCCAGAAGAACCGTTTCTCGAGCCGGATCCGGTAAGGAAAACCGCCTTCATAACAGAACCGGTTTGTTGCTTGCTTTGTTGCTGTAGAGTATACCATGGAGTATTAGGGTTATTGGGAAGGTGATAGCCATTGTTAAACCCACCAAGGATTTTCCCTTTGCTTTGATGATGCTTGGTCCTCGGCTTTTGTTGCTTCTGCTTCGTTGGTTGTTCTTGTTTCAGCTTGTAAAACTATAAAATTATAACAAGTAAAATTACTGCAATTAAATAAAAAAATAAAAGCAAAGAAAAAGAAGATCCATGCTTACCTGCTGAATAGCTCTTATTTGTTCATCGATAAGTGCTTGTTTTGATTGAAACCCATGGCCATATGTTCCTGTTTCTTCATTTGTTTTCACAGTTTCAAATTTTCCATCATCAGGAGAACCAGATGACTGAAAATCAGATGAAAAAAAATCAGTACTTTCAAAAAACAAGAACCCTGAAGAGAAAGTCGAATGTTTGTTACCTTTTCATGTTTATCTTCATCCTGAAACATGTAGTGAGCCATCTGGCGAGTGAGCTCATCAATAAAACAGTCTTCTTCCTCCTCATGCTCTCCGTGGTGGTGGAATTGAGGTGATCGGAACCAGTGGGTGAACTCAGCTCTGTGCCAGACTCAGACGAGGCAAATAAGTAACGTTTGTTGTTGTTGTTTTGCAGGGCATCAAAGTGATGATCTTGAGAAGAAGGGATGAATAAGGCACGGTCGTGTAGGTCAACAGCCATAATAAATGAGAAAAAGAAGTAAAAAGTTGTGAGGCCTGAAAGTGGAAGAAGAAGCCAGGTGAAGAGAGGGATTAGTTATTCAGGAAGATACTGGGTGGACAATTATTGCCTCAACACTCAAAAGAAAACATTAGATAAATAGACAAAGAGAGCGACAGAGGGAGAGATTCCTGTCCTGTGGGACTTCCAAGCTGATGTTATAAGGAATCGAATTGAGGAATAGGCCAAAAGGGTTATATATATTACTACCACATTTTGACACTTAAATTTACAAAATAAAGTAATTTTAACACTCACTTATTTATATTTTTAAATTAATTAAATTAATCCACTAAAAATAATAATAGATCTACTAAACTGACATCATTTTTTTGTCTTTTTTCCATTTTTAATATTTTAAATGTATATTTTTTATAAAATAAAATTAATTTATGTCAAGATTCAAAAATACAAAACAAATTATATGCGTTGAACAAATGTTATTTTTTCCTTTTAATTAATTTAATTTGATAAAAAAATAAACAATTAATGTTGAAAGAAATAATATATATATATTAAATTAAAGGGTCAAAGATGTAATTAAACCAATTTTTTAGTATAAAGATAAAAGAAGAAGCTGAGTAAGGAATAAGGATTGTAACCCAATCCAGAATACTTTGAGTAGTATATTTTTAAGCATTATTATTTGATTAATTGATTGATTAATTTAAATTAAATAATATAAAAATTTAATATGAGGCTATTGTTTTAATTTAGCTTTTTCTATTCACATAGTTAAATTCATATCTTTTATCTAATTTAAAAAATATAATATATCATCGTACTGAATTAATTAATTATTAATTTTATATAGTATTTTTTTCATCCGTCATGTATGGTAAAAACTGCAATAAATTCTGACAGTACAGTTTGTTCCAACAACGTTATATTGCAAACACACCTGCCATTTGTTAGGGAGTAGTATTCCAAGTTAAACCATAACAAAATAAAATCGAGTTGTTGAATGAGGTACAAAAAAATTGGTGTTTATGCACTTTTCTCATGTCTTGACGTAAATGTATGATTGGATCAATCCATTCTATTTATTAAATTAAAAATCGATTGATCTAATAATTCAACCGTATAAATTAAATTAAAAATTATTTTTATAAGAAAAAAAAGTGTAATGGACTTTTGTTTTGTTTACTTATTAATTTTTGTAATTGAGAAATGGTTTATTAGTTAAAAAAGGTCGAGCAGTCAGTCATGGGATAAATGGATTAGGTGAGAATGGTTGGTTGGTAATGGAGTTAGCTGGAATGGGTTGATTGCAAAATGATTGGAACAAGAAAAGAAGGTTTAGTTGGTTTCGGAAAATCAAACTTCAACTTTCCATACGATGATTTTGATATGCTATCAAAACCTTTTGTTTCTTTTACATAAATTCTTCGCACAAATTGGTTATTTCTCACCTTCATTATTGATGCTTGCCCTAAACCAAGTCAACTTCAATTTTTGCCTCAAGCTTGAGTTTGGAAAGGAAATGAGTAAACGTTATCGTTTTTATTGGATGATTACAATTTTTTTAAAAAAATGGTAAAGCCTTTTTTAAAGTTACAAATACAAATAATATGAATATGAATAATAGTGATCAAAATTAATTATTATAAAATATAGTTAGATTGGTTATCTATGCATGATATTATGAATTTCATTATAATTTCTCCTCAATCTCCCACTGCCTTCAACGTTTCAAAACCAAAATATATATGCTTTCACTCTAATTTTAAATACACACTTTCAAAATGGCAAAACTTTCGAGATAATGTTCTAGAAAAAATTAATTCACGAGATAAAACACTCTCAACATTAATTGCTCAAATAAGTGAAATCCACAGTGTTGGCCGTAGGTCGCCATGCCTTCCGGGCGACCTACTAGGTCGCCATGTCTTCCCGGCGAGCTACAAGAGATTGCATGTGCCATGCACGTCCCAACACGCTGGGCATCCGAGGCCATCCGACCGAGCTATGCGAGGGCAACCGAACGAGCTATGCGAGGGAATCCGAGCGAGCTATGCGAGGGAATCCGAGGGCAACCGAGCGAGGGTAGGTCGCCCGGAGTGCATGGCGACCTACAAGGTCGCCCGGAGGGCATGGCGACCTATGTGTTGGGACGTGCATGTGCCATGCAACACGTTCATTCTCTCTGTTTGAGCAAGGGTAGGTCGCCCGGAGTGCATGGCGACCTTCAAGGTCGCCCGGAAGGCATGGCGACCTACGGCCAACACTGTGGATTTCACCCTATTTGAGCAATTAATCTTGAGAGTGCATTAGCTCGTGAATTAATTTCTTTCAGAACATTATCTCGAAAGTTTTGCCCTTTCAAAATTATCTTTTAAAAAGAGAATTAAAAAAAAAACTTTTTACAAAAGATAATTTTACAGGCTTTCGATTGCATGCTAATCTAAAATAATCGCTGGCGATCATTTAAGAAAATACATATTTTTAGTAAAAGCTATCATCAAACTAAAATAATTTCAATAATATATTTAAAACTATTTAAATTTAATATATTATAAGTAAAAATGAATTATGTTTTTCATCTATTAATAAATCCAAATTAATAACTTTAATTATGCACTTTTATTTTTTTAACGAACGAGAATTTTAATTAATTAAAGAAATTAAAACTGTCCCTGAGACAATACAACCTAAATGTAATAAAAAATTATCATTTAAGTGGGTTGATGAAATAAATAATTTTTATAGGTTAAGACTATAACTGATGTAATATCAGTGCTGGAATTTAAAAGCTCCTTTTTGGGCTGACATTGAAGGCCCAGCCCAAACATTCAAACACAAATACATAAATCACTCATTTGTTAAAAGTGGCATGAATATTAATTTTTTAATTGTAATAAGATAATTTTATTTATCAATTATAACAATTAAATCATTTAATTTATTAATTATTATAATCAAAACACTTATTTATAATTCAAAAATAATATTTATTACATATTCAATGAGAACTCAATTTATAATTAATTAAATATTTTACGGATAAGATCCACTTACATAGAGTAAAACTCTTTTAATTTTACACAGATTTAAAACTATTAATGAGTAAAAACAGAAAATTGAGATTAACGGTATAAAATGAAAGATATTTATTAAAAAATAAAGAGTTAGTCTCATCAATCTATTTTTACGAATCCAATACTTCAAAATTTTTTGTTAAACGAAAAGAGTTTTACATTATATAATTTGATCATAATCTAATATTTTAATTTAATGATTAATTTTTAAATTTACTAATAATTTAATAAGTTTTTAAAAAATATTTTACTTATCTTCATCATTAAGCAGTTATTGTGTGACTATAGATAGAGGTGCACAAAAAATTCGAATATTTAATTTTGCGTAAAAAATATCCGAAACTGGATTTGGGAAAAACCGATTTTTTTAAACCAGATCGGATATTTAAAAATCGGATAGTATAATCGGTTTGGGAAAAAATTGGACGATCGATTTTTTTACCGGATTAAAAATCGGTTTGAAAAAAAGGGATAAAAAATCGATTTTTATCTGAAAAAATCTGGTCTGGGTTTTAAAAACTAGCCGTGGGGGTTTGTGACCGTTTTCTAAAAAAATCACCATTTTAGAACCCTAAACATGTATCAATAGGTTGAGAATATTTGGTTGATTACAACTTTCTCAAATCTTATTACACAATACCTAAACATCTCTCAAATCTTATTTTTGTAATTTTTTGTTCATCATGACTACAAATACCGACCCTAAACGGTTGAATCTTCCGTCGGGAAAAACCTTGAAGCCGTGAGAGTGATCGAACACACTCGAAACAAAGATATTTAGGATCACTACGATTTATGTGAGATGTCAAATGGCTCGAGGAGGCTGCGTTGTAAACTTTGTCTAAAGTTTTTTGCACCGGAAGGAAACACAACGTTGAAGAACCATTTTACAAATCATACAAGGCACTTTGCTCAAGATCGGATCCAAGTTAATCGAATCTTACACCGCAATGTGGTGTTTTTGTTTATGACAAAGAAAAATTACGAGAAGCGTTTACAAAGTTCGTGATTACAAAAGCATTGTCGTTCGACCACTTTGATGATGAAGATTTCACGGCAACAATTCAACAACTAATGTAACCACGTTATACTCAAGTAAGTCGTACTATCCTTAGAAGAGATGCTATAAAAATGTGGAGTACGGCGAGGGAAAAATGATTTTAGGATTCCAAGAACACCGTTATGGCGTGTCGCTTACATGTGACGTTTGGAGTTTCCTCATAATACCGAAATTCTTTTTAGCCGTTATGGCACATTAATTAGATCAAGAAAATTGGCAAATGATGAAAAAAATAATTGCGTTTGAATTATTCTATGAGTCGCATACCGGTGCTAATTTATTTACACTTTTAAAAAGGGTAATTTGTCTTTATAAATTAAAAATAAAGTTTTTTCTATATCCTTTGATAATGTATCGAATAATACAAATACGATTCCAAGATTAAAAATATTACTTTCACCGATTTTAGACGGTGCATTTTTTCATACCCGTTGCGTTGCACACATAATTAATTTATCCGTGCAAGCCGATTTGGAGGTTATTGTGCCAATTAGATTAGAATTTAAAGCAATGATAAAATCGGTTCTTTGTAACAACAACAAAAGACTAAATGATTATAAACAATTTTGTAAGTCGGTTAATAAAAAAGCTTTGGGTCCTAATTTGGATTGTCCAACTCGTTGGAATTCAACTTGGATGATGATGCATACCGCCTTAAGGCAAAGGGAAACATTACAAACATTTCACGATCGGCTTTTCGAGAGGGGCTATGTCACAAACATTTATCCGGATTCGAGTTGGAAACTATAGCCAAAATAACCGATTTGCTTGGGGTTTTTAAAAATACAACAACTTTTTTATTCGGTGTTTATTACCCTACTATCCGTTGGTTCTTAATCAAATATTTTTGTTGGCTAACTGACTAAATGACTTTAAATTTGAAACCGAAGTTTTTTAAAAAATTGACTTTGCAATGAAAGAAAAACTTTTAAAATATTTTAAGGAGATTTTCCTCATTTTTATTTGTGTCGCCGCTTTAA